CTGGGGAATTCTGTGAGTTGAAGTCCACTCATCTTAAAGTGGCCAAGTTTGGACAACACTGGTGTAATCAATAAAGGAGCTGAATTTGGACGAACTGTTTCCTCGCTGTTCTTGGATTGGGCCTGACAAGCGAAGAGGTTGGAGTTCCTGCCAGTAGGAGTGGTCTGCTCCCAAACTTCACAGAGTTCCAGCATTTCCATTGGAAAACCAGACCCTCAGTGTCTTGGGATGCACCACCACCACCACAACACTGTGGGCTCACAAGAGCATGGAGGTGGAGCCAGAGCGGTGGGAACACTATGAGCAGAGTTGCCCCTGGTTTTACTGGGCCAAATCCTGACTTGTCTATATCTATTATAAAGTACTTGAATGGTGGTAGACAATTATGTGTGGACTTCTTAAACTGTGTCAACTAGCTGTACCTGAGAAAGGTAAGGGAACACAAATACTATGATGCCCTTAAATCAGAATGGGGAAATGTGCTATATCAACTTCTGGCTGGGATCCAATTAAATTAAATTTTGCAGTCAGAGGCTAGGGAGGAGGCTCCCTTTGTAGGCAGAACATATTATTTAGGCCTAAGCATCATTTTGTTGTAACAAAGGATACGTTCTTTTAAAAGCAAAGGGGGGGAAAGTATACTTAATAGTATGTATATATGTCTAGGTGACTCCCTCCAGGCAATATCCTTTTTAAAAACAATATGAAGAAAAGAATGTTGTGGTAAGGAGCCTCAGTCCTGGAGATCTCTGCCTGTCCATGTCAGCCATGGGAAGCGATGCTGGGCCTGTCTGTTGCTGCCCCCTCCCTAAACGATCTCTCTAGCTCCATCTTTCAAAACATTTTGGAAAGGTTGCCCTTGGTTTTTAAAGGGGCATGCTGAGAACCCCCCTAAAAAAAAAAAAAAAGGTCAAAGTCAGCACAAAAGCATGCTGTGACAAGGAGAAACACTAAATTTAATTTAATATAAAGAGAAATTAAAGTGCAATTAAACCAAAATCATATTAGCACAATTAATATGATTATTCTCCATGTATCTTGTAATTTCCCCTTTGGGCCACTTTGAACACTATAATTTGGCAGCAGATTTTGAGGGGGGGGTTTCCCATACTTCTTTGCCTAAGTGGGTCATCTGGGTTGCAAGAACTAGGATGAAAATGATTGAGGACTCCTTTTAGAGATATATTGGGAGAACAAAGAAACATGGGACACTTCCCAATCATGGATTGTCCCAAACATACCTCTGACATTTATTATTTCCCCTCTTGGGGAAATAATCCAAGTTGCCTACTCCTCCTGGACCACTCACTCCCAAACTTTCCATGCGTGCATTAAATGCCCACTGGTAGAGCAAATCTTTTTGCCATTGGCCACACTTTTTCTCTCTAACATTCTGCAGCTGCTCAGACAGTCTTTAATTTTATGGCTGCAATCTTCTTCTTTTGCCTCCATCCATTGAGGCCCTTTCTCCAAAATGTTGCTTTCCTGAAGAGGCCTGACACTAACTACTATCCCAGGAATGCAATTGTAGAGATTGATGGTTTCAGCATCTCCAGCAGAGAGAATTGCTTGAATTCAAAAGACAGCAGGTTATTACCTCCCTGGTTAATATCGGGTTATGACCACAGATGTAATTTCTATCTTGGGCTTTCTAAAGCAAATGGCTCTCGTCCTCACTTGATCTGATTAATTTACATACGCTTCCAAGTTGCCTGTCCCTTTCCTCAAAGGAGTTGTTTTCGACACCTTTGCAATCTTATTCTAAGACCATTTACTCAAAAGACAATTCCAAGATTTTAAAACTCACTGTTGAATTATCTCAAGAGTTAAACCAAAAAAGTGAGAAAAGGCCTATTTCTCTGTTGAACCTCTGGCCATACCACTTCAAACTGAAGGAGAGGGATCACCTGATCAAATGCACCATCTTGCAAAACTCTCAGCACTGAACATCCCCGTCTACTAGTTAGCATCCTTCTGAATCTAGATCAGGAAATGTACGATAATGCAGTCAACATTTTGGGGTGCTCTCTCATACGTGATTCTCACTGGGCTCCCTTAAACTAGATAAGGCACCCCATAACTTCTCTCAGGCCATCTCTGCCCTTTTTGAATGGTTTATGGAAAATAAGAACAGCAGTGCTATAGGTAAGATTGCTCCTTGGTTGGCCTTGGTCTCTGAGCTAGGTCTGGTCTCTGGCCCTCCTGGTTGCCAAAGACTAAATGTGTATTCTCCTTTGTTCTGTGGTGTCATGATCTAATTGCAAACAGCCTGCACTGCTGAGAGCTAGTTCACACTTTCTGAAGATTCAGATGATAGTTTTTTTCTGATTTTACTTCTCTAGCAACTGAAACTTTATAGAAAGCAAAATGTAAAGTCTCATTTGAATTGTTGCCTAAACCACAACATGTAATTCTCATTCTTCAGATGTACATAATACATCAGCAGCTGTATTATGGTAACTTCCAGCAGAACTTCCATCTCTCCAGCCTTGCAGACATCTAAGACTACAAAATGATGCCAAGTCCCTTTAACAGTCTAGACCAGTGTTTCTCAACTTTAGCAACTTTAAGATGTCTGGACTTCAACTCCCAGAATTCTCTAGCCAGCATGCTAGAAAAATTTGAGGCCTGTAGGCTAAGAAGGTGAAAAAAAGACATCTTGGAAAAAAGTAATAGAAAACCACTTCCATCATGCTGCCAAGAAACTCACATGGATGTGTCCATAAAATCATGAGCTGAGCTAATTTCAGAGGAGACTTTATTTTTTTCTTTACATAATATTTCAGTTGCTTTAATATTTTGCTGAGGCAACGTCTATTGTCCTAATAGGGAAGAATTCACACAGAGCTGTCCCAGTGTTATTCACCAGAAATCCAGACTTTCCCTGCAGTGCCTGATGTATCTATCTGTCTGCTTAGACTGGACTGATTTAACCTGGCAAGATCATTCCTTCATGGGCTACATAAGTTCTAGGCCTAACCCATGAAACAGAAGGCAAATATCTTTTAGACATTTATCCATGAATCCAGGTATCTGATCTCAGTCTCATCTCATGAAGACAATAAAGAGGTAACTCATTGCCCCATAGAACAAATTACATCCTTGTATCTAGGCTCACTCATTATCTGCTAACACAGGAACAATAGTATTTAACTTTCAACAGTGAAAGAAAATAGGCCTTCTTTCTAAACAAACTTTCTAAAACCTACCTTGATATCTTGGTGGAGCTTCTGAAATTCATTCCAAATAATTCTTGCTGTTGTTGGACTATAGATGGCTCTGCTCTTCTTGCCTTTAAATAAGGTGGCTTGAAAAGACCTAATTGGCTATTTATCTCCTGAATCTGAATAAGATGCTTAACTGTGGATAATCCATTATGTAAAAACCATCATCTGTAATCTTTGTACTCAACTGTGCATCTTCAATTATCAATCCACACATCTTTTACATAACAGAAGAAACCATTCCAACCCAAAACCTTCCAGAACCAAAACACCTTTGTCAGTTCAAGCCTTCTGAAACGTACAGCCAGCTAAATGTGAAGCTGTCCAATTTTAAAACGGCACCAGAAGAGCTATGTTGGGTTAAACGTACTTTTTTTTCTAGCTAAGCCCATACTCACTTAGATTTTGCAAAATATTTAAGACCATTAGACCATTTTCATTCCTTGTTGCCAAAAGCAATAAAAAAAAGCTCTTTGCTCACACATATCTTGCGAGTTCAGGACTTTTCTTTATCCTTCCATCCATCCCCAGTACCGAAATGCTTCCATCAAGCAAGGGTGTCTCTTCTTTGCAAAGCAGAAAGTATCACATCATTTTGAAAGCCTGATAATGGAAATATCAGCAAAATTGGATGATAATATGTACTAAGTCAACTTTTCTAGATTTTGTACTTCTGTCAGGATTGCTACTCCCAGAACCGTGAGAGCTAGGAATTCTGGGAGATGTGGTCCTAAGGCACTCGGAGAACAC